GCCCGCGCAGCGCCGCGCTCCCCCTCTCCGTTTCCGTGCGACGGTTTTCAATTTTTCCCCCCCTTTTTTTTTATTATTTTTTTTTCGCGCTCGAGAGAGAGAGAGAGACAGAAAAAACACACATAATTGAACGTTTTCGGTGTCCTGGGAGCGCACGCAGCGGATCGTCACCGGTCATTCAGCACCTTGACAAGCTCGCCCGTGATTGACAGCCGGAGTGGCGAAAAGCCATGGGACTCGGTAGTTGGGTTTGAGGGGCGCTTTAAAAAAGAGAGGAAAAAAAAAGGAAAAAAAAAAAAACGACCCTGATTTGGGGAAAGGATATTTGCTTTCGCCCCGCCGCTGTCTTGGAAACGAGAGGGGGAGAGAGAGAGAGACAGGGAGAGAGGAGAGAAAGAAAAAAAAGAAGGAAGGAAGGAGGGAGAGTTGCTTTTTTTTGTACTATTTTTTCTCCCTTTTTTTTTTTTAATGCTGAGTTACCGTCTCGCTTCTCTGAGATCCAGCAAGCCGAAGATTTCGCTCGATTGCTTCCATTGCTGGCGACGCTAAGGGATTTTTGCTTTTTTGGGGGGGTGAGGGGGGGACTTCGCGTTTCTTTCTTTTCACCCTGGCCTTAAAGAGGATATATTAGGAGTTGAAGTAGGAAGGGAGCAAGCAGGCCGATGGCGCAAAGGGTACGTATTAAAAAAAATGTATTTCAAATGTGAAATAATATTGAAACGTGGCTGAGAGAGACACTGCGAAAAAGTTTTATTTCTTTTCTTCCTTTTCTTTTTTTTTATTTTTGTTTTGTTTTGTTTTTCCTCCTCTTTGGAGCAGAGGCACAAAGCGGTGTCCCGGCCCGGGAGTATTTATCAGTGGTACTTGCAGGCTTAAAATCTGGATATATTGGCGTTTTCTTGATTCTGTCAATCCTTATCACGGCCATCTCACCGAGCAGGAGGGACATGCGGGCGCCTAAGTGCATATGCAAAACCTCTGCATTTGTCGGGTTTGTAGCTGTAGTGTCCTACCCCTATGATGTTTTATTTTTGCTTTTTTTTTGGAAAAAAAAAGTCCCCAGTGCTGGCAATGTCTTAGTGTGTGCATGTCTCCGAGCGCTTTGCCGTGCTAGTGGCGGCACACCGCTCCACTTTGGGGAGATAACTTGCGGTTTGGAGTAAGCAGAACTTTCTTTCTTTACTTTTTTTCCTCTTTATTTCTTTCTTTCTTTTCCTTTTTATTATTTTCTGCTTTTATTTTTGCGGTCACAAAGGTGCGGTACAATGAGCAGAATACTTAAAAAAAGAAAAAAAAAGAAAAAGAAAAAAAGGGGGAAAGTGGGAAAAGGAAAAGGAAAGAAAAGAGAGAGGCTGCTGCGAGGGCAGCCCGCGGCGTGCGCTGCCGTGTGCGTAGCTGCTCGGTCCCCTCCCGGATGCGGCTCCGCCCCTCGGC